TGCGAACGGCACTGGTGTGTCGATGAGGTCCAATTCTGCTCCATGACAATGCTCGGCCACATGTTGCCAGGATGACACTGATAAAGCTCACTGACATGGGATACAAAATTTTGCCACACCCACTATATTACCCCAATCTCTTGATCACTACCATATTTTTAAGGCATCTTGACAATTTTTTAAGTCAAAACACATTCCTTTGCAAAGATACAGAAAATGTATTCAAAGATTTCTTGATGTCCAGACCCATTACAGTTTTATCATAAAGGCATAAATAACCTTGTAACTCGATAGCAGAAATGTTCAGGGTTCCTATTTTGACTGATTTAAGCAGTTTAAATGCATGCATTCAAGAATTAAATTTGATTTCAAAATTGGACATCATTTTCTCGAATTTATAGCTACATGTATACTGCCACTTCCTAGTCATGGGCTCTGCAATGACTTTTAAAAACAGAAAGGCTTTTAAATGTTCTATTACCCCACTGACAAACATTTATTTTAGACATTTGTTTGTCTTGTGTTTTTATGATTGATATTACGTACCTTCTTGTGCCTGGTACATATATTGCTTATGGCACAAGTTGCACACCAAGTCCCACGGTTGACATTAACTGTTATATTCAATCTGAGGCTCCTTCACATAACTCTTAATTTGACTTTTCAGACCAGGTTGTAATAAGCAAACATGACCACATTCTTCACAAACCCATTGGGTTACAGCTGAGTTAATAAAATAAAATCTCTTTCCAGCCACACAGTTTACTTTGACTCTTCTGATACATTCTTTATTATGAAGGACAATTACAAATAGAGCCTGCTTCCACTCTTCATGATTTTATGCATTTACCTCCCTTGATTATCTGTGTACAACAGAGAAGACAACCAAATCTGACAAAGAATTTTTGAAACATTTCCTGAGCTTGTTACTGACCACTTATATATTTGATATACCGTGTCCCTCCAGGACATGGATGATCATGGCTCTACACAACTTCCTATTCTTCATAACTCTAAGCAGTATTTGTCACTTTACTGTCACTCCTACACCCTGTTCTGCCATCCATTAACACAAGCTTATTAGATAGGTTACTCACCGTTTCCCCTTATTACCTTCAATATGTCCAGCGAGTGTTAAAATCTCCAAGCCTTCCTTCCTCATTATGCATCCGAGAACTTTTCAACTGTCTCTTTCTGATTCTCAGTGTCAGTTTTGTTTCCATTTTCCTTAAAACTCTGTCGTTACTTGTTTGGTTCATGATATTTTCAGCCTTCTTCTGTAGAACTACAACTCCCTGAACTCTCTTTTACATCTGTGAGGAAAGTGTTCAGCATTCACTGTTATATAGGTGGATTAATATTACATTACAGCTTAGCTCTCTTTTTTTTCTAATGACATTTTCATGTTTCTTAATACTTTGCTTAGCTTTTGGAAGGCCCCTTTGGCTTTACGAAACGCCCCTTTGGGTTTCAGTGTCACATATATTTTTAAAACATTTGAATTTCTGTATCTATATTTCTGAGATGAGGTATTATGTACATTATTTGGACTATTGTCCTCATCTTTGTCGCCATATTTATTACAACGTTTTGGCCGTTGTACGCTCTGGCCTTCTTCAGGTAGTTGGAATATCAAACTGAACCCTTTATTTCGCTCACTGGGCACATTGGATAAAGGTGTTAATTAGATACAGTGACAGGACCCAAAGAGTGTGATTTCAATACCCAGTTAAGGCAGTGGAGAACTTTCAGAAGGGAATTAACAGGAGATAACTGACATCCATTAAACATGGCACATGGAACTAGAACAGTCTACCCCAGTGAGCGAAATAAAGGGTTCAGTTCGACATTCCAACTACCTGAAAAAGACCGGAGTGTACAACAGCCAAAATATTGTAATAAATATGGCAACCAAGATGAGGACAATAGTCTGAATAATGTAAATAATGTATTTGAACTTCTGTATGTGCTTGATTTTGATGTCTTCAATTTGGATCTTACTTCTTTGGCTGCCCCTTTTGCTGACAACCAAACATTCTATCTTTTTACAATTAACAGTCCATTTTTCTAGCTTTCCTTTACTAAGTTATCAAGGAGTACTTGCAGTTTCCTCTCTGTGTCTGCCATCAACACAGTGCCACCGTTTATGTAATATGTATGAAAAGAAAAATGTTAAAATTCAACTCTAGAAATCTTTCACTTAATGATTATTATATTTTTTATGGTTTATCAACCCTTTAAGGGTTATTCAAAGTCGAAACATATTTTGGATTGGAAGAATAATTCTCTTTTTTATTTTTTTGTGAGTGAATATTTCGATAAGAATTTTTTTGGAGAATAACAATGATTTTTTTCAGATACTATTATTTAACCCATAGCTGGGAGGAGGAGCTGGATTCACACCTTTCCCAAGGAAATTGACTGGAATTTGAACCTGGCTCTCTGATTTCTCATTCCGACCTGCTATCCATTGCACCACCTGCGTATTTACATTTAACTTTATAAAATAACGTGTGGATGTTGCCAATACTGTAACTGTCGTCAGTGGAAATGAGTAGAATCTAAATTTCGACAGAATATGTTGTGTTGCACTATTGCCCTTGACTAATGAATTTATTTTTAATGGTTTATCAACCCTTTGTGCAAAAGCCAAATCCATACTTTGGATTGTAAGAATAATTTTTTTGTGAGTGAATATTTTATTCACAACTCTCTGACAATAACAATGATTTTTCAAGTGCAAATTCTCTTATTTAATCCATAGCAGGAGGGGATTGGATTCTTTCTCAAAGGTATTTGTATGTAAGTGAACATAAAAAACCTGGCTGGAATTCAAACTCATCTTTACAAATTCTCATTCTGAGTCACTATTTATTACACCACCTGCAAATCCAACATAAAAATATAAACAAGATGAATTCACCCTGTGACACATCATAAAACAATAAATTTCACCTTTAGACCCTAGCAAACGTGTTAAGCTTACCAAATATCTTATAAGTACCAATAACAACATGACTATAAAATCTAATCTTCCTACTGTCAACATAGTCTGTAAATTTCAATGTCCAGTGAAAGGTAGTGAACTATGTAATAAGGATAAAACCACAAATTGGTCACATAGTAAGCTCTTTAAGTAGATGTCTAACTAGCCACCTGAGTGATATTAGTTTGATAAGCAAGCAATTACACACTCATACTCAACTTCCTGCAACTATAAGAAAAATCCTTGTAAATAAAAACTACCATCTCAATTATAAAAGCAAATACCCACCACAATATCAGATAGTGACTTTATATCTAACATATTTTTTATATAAAAATTCACTAATAAGAACTTCTGTCTTCTTAATTATAAAAGTGAATATTCATAATATCAGAACTTAGTGACCTTATATCCTGGTTGAAAGCAGCTCTTGTTTTTGATTTGCTCACTAGACCATGGTGTTCATATCCTGGTAAGGGCAGTTTCAGATTGGTTGGTTGAAATATGAATTCATGGCTTAGCGATTCTGACTATACATCTATTTTTACAGGTGGTGAAATTTTGGTCTCCTTGTTATTATTTATTTATTTTCACATCACTACAACATAGAACTCAATAATGCATTTAACATCTCCTTATAAAAAAAAATCCACTAATAACAACTTCTGCCTTTTCAATTATAAAAGTGAATACTTACAATAACATCGAATAACAGTGGTTAAAAAAAAACTTCCGAAACTGAATGTACCTGATGTCCTCTTCCTGGAAAATATTTTACAATGAACTTGAACACATATAAAGCAATCATTAGTTAACAACAATTTTCTCAACTACATTACAGAAAACTAAATAAAAATATTCCAGCAGAAATTAAATGGCACCAACATTAAAAAAGCAAAGCATAATATTAATAACTTCTACTGCATTATAAATGATAACTGATTGATTTGAATTTGGCACTCTGAATTCTTGTTCTGCTCACTTAATGAAAAGACAAGAGAAACAGACAAATCCATGTTATAAAGATGGTCAATGGAGCTCCTGTTGACATTGCATTCAGATTCCTTGTGACACACAAGCTCCTCCACTAAGACACACTATGTACATTGTGTATCTTAGAAGATTTTTCACTTAAACTTAAAGTCTGTTAATTTTTGGGGTGTAATCAAAATGCATCATGGTGGTAAGGATTCAGGGAAGGGACTAGACTAAGTCAGCAGCCTGATGCAAGCTGTCATCATGAACTTGCGTGTCAAGCCTTGGTTTGCTGCAGGGGATGGTGTCAGCTGAAGTGAGTGTCCCATGGACCATCTCAATTCACAGCTCAAAGACTTTTCTTCTCGCATCTAAAGAAATTGGTGAAGAGCTGTCCATGAAAAAACAACATCCTTCGAAAACACCAGACAGCAAATAAAAGAGATGAAGAGAGCCCAAAGAAAAGCCGACGTTCTCCATCCCCTGCACCCTCCTAGCCTACCATGTGGTGGCTGGAGATGTCTCTTCAGATCCAAAATAGGACTCATTTCATACAGAAAGAAATGTCAATGAGCATCCCAATACTTGGCAACAAGTTCTGCCAATGATGACGATAAATGGTAATATTAGTCATTTCTATACAAGGAAACATTTGGTATTCATTGGCTGAGCAGCCAGTAATGTTTTGGACTGAAATTTATAAAATCTTTCTCTTAAAACACTTTTTTAAAGAAAACAGTTTTCTCAAGTCCAGTAGCTGTTATTGCTCTTTCCAGAATTGACTGAATGATGGATTCATTTTTCTACAAATAATCAACCTTTTTAGAGCCAGAAAATATTTTTTTTTGATTGTCAAAATTGTTTGGCAATAATGATGATTTAGTGAGACAAGTGTTACTAATTCATAGCTTGGAGTGGGGGTGGGATAGAATAGGCGGATCCACACTTTTCCAAAAGAGCATTTGCTCATAAAAGAATATAATGAACCCAACTGGAATTAGAACTTGGCTTCCAATTCTGAACCATTATCCAAGCTTATACACCTGGTATTCCCAAGCGGTCACCCATCTAGGTACTGACCAGGCTCGATGTTGCTTAACTTCAGTGATAATACGGGAACCAGTGATTAAATGTGATATGGCTGTAAGCTCCTTTCCAATATTGATGAGGGTTTCCTTCCTAACCTTCTATTTGAAGTGGTGTGGAATATCAACTTCTTATGTTATTATTTTCTCTTCACGTCATATGTGCTATCCATTTTAGTTGTTGCTGCTGTTGAAAGTCCTCAAGTGACTTGGTTTCTGTTATTTGGTACATTTCTTTCTTTGTGATTCTGTACTGCTAGTCCACACTGTTCAAAGAAGGATGATCTTTGCCAAGATCCTCAGGCTTTACTCGCTCAAAGCCTTTTTTTGCTGATCTTTCATTGATCTTAGGAAGTGGTTGTATACAGCTGACAGTTTAGATATTTCTCAACGGGTTTGGCGCCATGCATGACATTCATATGAAAGTCTTGATCTGATGAGGTTATTTAAGGACATGACTTGAGTTTTCAGGTTTGAGTTTTTTCGTAGCAATTTGTGGTGTTAAGCAAAACTTCCCCTGGTACAGCTTATTCTGTGTTCAATTTTTTTTTCTCATATACTTGTTATAGCTGATCCATAATGCTGAGGTAAATGAGGTGTTTAATATCACTGTTCTCATTTCAATTCCAGTAAAAAAAAAACAAAAGAGAAAAAAAGCAAGAAATAATAGTACTAATAATAAGTCTTTTTAATGTGTCAATTGCTTTGAAACCCCTGCTCATAAAATTTGGGGACCAGAGACAAATAAAACTTGTATATTACAAGCTGAGAAGTCATGCAACATTTACAAGTTATTTAGTTTGGAAAAAAAAAAAATTCTCTTCATTTTCACATCATAGTTTCCTTAATAGAAAAAAATGACAAGTGACAACACTGAATTAAAGAAATGGAAGACCTTCAAAATTGTCAAAACAGATTGATGTTGGTCATGAGAATAAGTGAGACTGGAATATAGAAAAATTGAATAGTTGAAAAGTATGAATGACTAATTTTGTTCCAACTGGTTTAAAAAAAAAAATACTTTTGTCTGGATTGTTTTGTTTTTTTTCTTCTCATGTTGTTCATTTACTTAAATATTTTCTTTTTTTTAAAACAAATATCTTTGATTCTGGCTGAAAAGGTACCCTGGTTTGTATACATATATACTTATATATAGCTACATCTACACACATAACACCTTAACAGACTGTTTTTTGTTTTTTTTTTACGGCTTACCAACCTTTGCAGGTTATTTAAAGCCAGAAAATATTTTTAACTTGTAAGAATATTTTGTTGATAATAATGATTTACTGATACAATTAACCAATATCTGGGGGCTGGAAGTGGTGGATTCATGCTTTTCCCAAGGATATTTGCATGTAAGTGAATATAATGAACCAGACAGGAATTGGAACTCGGACCTCTGAATTCCAATTCAGAGTCATTATGCATTACACCAGCTGTTCATCCAAGCTTTCAGCACCTTACATTCCCAAGTGGTCACCTATCGAGGTACTGATCAAGCTCAATTGATCATGAGAACTGGTGTTCCAACATGATGTGGCTGTAAGACTTATAACACATTAAGAGCAGCTCATCATGAAGTAATTGTTAGCAAGGCTAGTCTGGTTGACCAGTACTATTAAGTAACGATTTTGATCCTCACTGGGTGCCCTCCTACAAAATTTGATGTTCAACAATCTAACAAGGGTTGACAGGTCATAAAATCAACCAACTTAACTAAATAGCCATTTCAGCATCTATTTGACCATTACTACTGAGTTTGATCCTCATTGGGTACCCCATACAGAATTTGTCATTATACAACACAACAAAGGTTGACATGTCATAATAATCAAACAATGTTTACAGAGGCTTGTCTGGATGATCATTACGACTGAGTAGTGAGTTTGATCCTCATTGGGTACCCCAGACCCAATTTGACATTACATAATGCAACAAGGGTTGACAGGTCGTAAAATCAATCAACCTAACTAAATAGGCACCTCAAAGTCAGGTAATAGTTACTGAGGTTATTATATTAACCTATGTAAACACATTTTTTTTATAGATGTTTGAAGAGGCATATGTCAAATTTACAAATTAATCTCTGAAGCCAAGAAATACTGTCCAAGGAAAACTATGAAGTTGTTAAGTACCCTGTTCACAAAGCTATTACAATTTGAGTTAACTAATTTAAGCAGTTGTTCGCAACACACATTTTTTTTTTGCTCATGCCACCTCCCCCCGCCCACAACATATTTTGAATGCTACCAAGACTGTTTGATACAGTAGGTAGATTGTAGAATTAAAATTTTCTAGAAAGAGTAAATATCACAACAGTTAGAATTTGCCAAACTTTGATCCCAATTCCATTTCCTTGAAAACCTAAAATTGCTACCAAAGGAATGGATGAGGAGTAACCCCCCCACTCTCTGTTGAGAACTTTTGTATTGGAGTCATATCATGGAGTGATTGTCAAGTTAAAATTTTCTTCTTCTCTTGCTTGACCATTAAACAAGCTCTGTAGAGGCACTCAGTGAGGATCAAACTCATAATGGTGGTGATATTATCATCTTATTAATATATATATATATATATATATATATATATATATATATATATATATATATATTATTATTATTGCCCATTAACTGTTTGTTTCATGCAGTGTGATTTTCAAAATGAACATTTGTTTCTCTTGGACACATAAGATTATATATATATATATATATATATATATATATATATATATATATATATATATATATATACACACACACACATATCGCTACACTGCACTCATTTGTTCTGAGAAACTCACCATTTGTCTCTAGCTACCCTGATGATAATTTAAGAAATTCAAAAGCTTGGACCATATTTCTTCCGAAATGAACTTTGGACAATTTCTGACAGAATTTATCTGAAAAGAATTATTCATAATTTGTAAAAGCCGATCAATAAAATTAATCAACACAAAGTGCCTGTTATATTTAATAACATTTGCTGCCTAAATACACTATATATAACAATAAATTGGGAAAAATCTTCTAGTGCCTCCCCTGGACACCAGGGAAAAATTATAGATTCTAAATTTGACTTCAATCCAGACCTTCAGGGTGATTTTGAGGCTCAGATTAATATTACAATAATATTAATTAATTTATTATTAATATATTAATTTAATAATATTAAATAATGAAAAACAAAATTTCCGATAATATAAACAGCTAAGAAAAAAATGTGCTTTATATTATTTAAATTTCAGCGTGTTGGTGTACATTTTACATCACTCATCCCAAGGGATGACAATGATTCCTTTAAAAAATGCTGTAGGTGTGAGTATATTTTTTGAGACAAGTAAGTGGTTAAATGAGAGTTGAAGCAACAAAAACATGGTTCTACCAACAAAGGCTAAAAATACCATGGACAGAACATGTGAGCCCTTGACTGCTCAGAAATGCTGGGCCTTGAAGTTGCCATGCTCAAGCATTGCTTCAAGTGGTCAGGATATGCCAACAGAATTGCCTCTTTCAAGACCATCCTTTACAATGAGCTTGTTAATGCCAAACAACATTGTGGAGCCCTAAAACAGATTCAAAGACCAAGTGAAGTCTTTCCCCTAAGAAAGCTGGAAGCAGCCCTAACAAACAGAAACCACCGGCTGTCCATTCTGGTGAAGAGAAATCAATTTCGGTTGTTCCACATTTGAGGAAAGAAGAGAAAGTAAAAAAGAAGACAAGGCCTGGTAGCTCCAGCTAAGACCATCACCCACCCTACCATACAACCTATTCCCGAGACTGTTCCATTCCCAACTAGGTTCAAACATCACAGAGGCACTGGATGAACCAACCTTAGACTCATGTGGTGCTGATGATACAATCTATGCCCCTGGACAACCTGTAGGATAGATTCTTTAAGACCAAATATCAAATGCTGACCTTTTGACTAAGGAAAAGAACTGGATGAATTGAAATGTTTCTCATGTAATTGCAATTGAGTTGGTGTTGCCATTTCCATCAGACTCAATAACAAGGTAACTAAGGTCCTCCTGTATAGACAGCTTTACTCTGGAAAAAAGAAATGTAGGTAGACCATTGTTCTGGTCTAAAGAAAATTTGAAGAACAATCTTATAGCTATCTATGTCCCATTTAAGACCTTTAAGCAGGTGGTCTCAGAACATTGGTGGAGAACTAGTTGTTTCAATAGCACCGTTGACTTTGAAACTAGCTGTTTTTGATGTCTGAGGGGAACAAAAGAAAGTACAAAAGCATCACATTGGAAAGGGGGTGGTCATCTAAGATAAAGGCATTTTGTTTCAAAACCTTCACACTTGCACCATTTGTGGCCTTATATGCATATCACTAACAGGACTCAAATGTCATGTTGGGTATATACACTTGAATTGATTTACACAAGCCAGCATGCTCATCTCAATTTTTTTCAGCCATTGTATCCTCCGGCCTTCTTCAGGTGTCTGTAACCTTCTCAGAATTTTGATCCAAACCCTTTATTCAATCTATGGCTTAGATTGTTCTCATTCCAGTTCATGTACTTAGGGGAATACATCTCATAAGTTACTCACCTGTCTTGACAGTTCAATCCTTCGGGTTGGTAGGGATGAAATGTCACATACACTCATCCACTGTAAAAATGGACAAGCGACACAAAGATGTTTGATTAGACATCTCAGTTTATTTACAGTGAACTTAAGAGGTGGCTGCCAGAAAAAAAGTGGATGCAGATTCAATCCCTGCCGAGAGGCACATTTTTTTTAATAAGACTTTTAATGATCTAGGCTGGCAGACAATAATTTTTATGATTCAGAGTGCTGTGTTGAGATGATGTAAAATAAGTAATAGTGAAAATGCTTCATCTAAAAAAGCAACAATAATGGAGTAAAACTAATAATGTAGATATGTATACACTTGTACCTATCTATGAATGGTGTCACACTAATCTTATTAAACTCGGATAGTGTTGAATATCTGAGAAGGAAATAGAAAAAGACAAGGGCACAAAGAATAGAGAAAGAAAGATGTGGCGAGAGACAAAAAAAGAGAGTTTTGGAGGGAGGGTCA